GAAGAAGAAGAAGAAGAAGAAGAAGAAGAAGAAGAAGAAGAAGAAGACTACTGTGGGGTCCTCAGTGGTCTCTGAGCTTGGTAGTTTTCTTGTAGACTTTAAATTACTCAATTAGGTATACTAGCTATAAGGGAGTGGAGAGATGGAGGAGGAGGGGGGGGAGGAGGAGGAGGAGGAGATGATAACTGTGGGGTCCTGGGTGCTCTCTGAGCTTGGTTGTTTTCTTGCAGACCTTTCATTACTCAACTAAGGAACATCATCAGTGCTAGTAAGGAGCCGGGTGGTCTCTCAAGAGACAATCCACCAGCCAAAAACAGAACAAAAAAGACCCAAGCAATCTCTCCATCATCAATCACCACCCAGATGAGCAGAGATTAACCCCAAAATTCACATCAGACCAACAATCAAGTCAACAAAACCCCAATCAAGAAATGGCCAGAGCCCAACCAAAGAATCTCTTAAAACTACCCACACCCACATAGACAAGCAAGAATGGAATGGAATGGAATATAATAGAGCAGAGCAGAGCAGAGTAGAATAATAATGGAATGAAATAGAATAGAAAATAGAATAGAATAAAATAGAATAATAATGGAATGGAATGGAGTGGAATAGAATAGAATAGAATAGAATAGAATAGAATAGAATAGAATAGAATAGAATAGAATAGAATAATAATGGAATGGAATGGAATGGAATGGAATGGAATAGAAGAGAAGAGAAGAGAAGAGAAGAGAAGAGAAGAGAAGAGAAGAGAAGAGAAGAGAATAATAATGGAATGGAATAATAGAGTAGAGTAGAATACAATTAGAATAGAATGGAATAGAATAGAATAGAATAAGAATAAGAATAGAATTATAATAATAGAGAATAGAATTAATAGAAACTGAATGGAATGGAATAATAGAGTAGAGTGGAGTGGAGTGGAGTGGAATGGAACGGAACAGAACAGAACAGAACAGAACAGAACAGAACAGAACAGAACAGAATAGAATAGAATAGAATAGAATAGAATAGGATTCAGAATGGAGTAGGACACAGAATGGAATGGAATAGAATATTTTTCAGATTAACAGAGATGGAAGGGATCTTGTAGGTCATCTAGTCCAACCCCCTGCCTAAACAGGAGACCCTACACCATTTCTGACAGATGGCAGTCCAGTCTCTTCTTGAAAGCTTCCAGGGATGAAGCTCCCACAATTTCTGAAGATATAGGATTAGATTCATTATTGGCCAAGCGTGATTATTGTGGGTTTCCATCCCTGGAATTGTGAGTCTCCATCACTGGAGGTTTTTCAAGAAGAAACTGTACTGTCCCGGACAGTACAAGATCTCCTGCCTTAAACACAGCGAGTTGGACTAGAAGACCTCCGAGGTCCCTCGCAAATCTTATTACTGAGTCTTCTGTCATTTTTCAATTTTTTCCATTCCCAAAGACGAGCCTCTCCCCATTTTTTCCCCGGCCATAAACAAACCGAGAAACGAGCAGATCTGCCTGGGCAGCGGCTGAGGTGTGGGGCCCGGCCCAAGTCCCGCTGCTTCCACAGAGCCTGGTTTTGCAAGAGTCCCCAGTGGCAGTTTCAACCCAGCAGCCGTGGCACCAGCAGCCGGGAGCCAGGCAGTTGCACAAGGTTGTGTTGGGAATGTTCAGGCTCGCCCTGCTGGCCTGCGAGGCCGCATTCTTGAACCGACAGAGATATCCGGGCCTCGTAAAAACCACCAGTTTCCTCCCAGGGAGCCCCTTGTGCCAAGCAGGGGGTGGGTGCAGGGAGCATGTCTCAGCGTAGGTCAACTGCGGCCTTCTCCCACATTTCTATCTTTTTAATTTTAATTTTTTGTTTTAATTCGCTTCTTCATGTGTCTGGCAAGATTACGCTCAGAGATTACTTGCTCAGCAGCTCTGGTGGCCTAGAGAGGTAGAGCTCTCACCTCCCAATCAGGAGGCTGTGAGTTCGATCCTAAGTAGAGGCTAATATTTGGCATAGACTCTCCTGCTCAAGCAAGGGGGTAGGACTAGATGACCTCCAAAGGTCCCTTCCAACTCTGTTATTCTATGATTGCATGGTGTTCCGGTTTGCCTTAACTTGGGTAAAGAGAGCTGGTTTTCCAAAGCACCCAGAAGGCAGGACAAGAAGCAACGGAAAGAAACTCACCCAGGAGAGAAGGCAGCCTGGAATTGAGGATCAATGTCCTCACAGCGAGGACAATTAGCCAGGGGAACTGCTTGTCACCAGAAGTTGTGGGTGCTGCTCCGTTGCTGGAGGCTTTTAAGAAGAGAACTTGTCTAAAATGGTTTAGGGTGTCCTGCTTGAGCAGGGGGCTGGACTAGATGATCTCCGAGGTCCCAATTGGTGGGATTCATTTTTTTTTACTACCGGTTCTGTGGGCGTGGCTTGATGGGTGTAACTTGGCTTAGTGGGCATGGTGTGGCTTGGTGGGCATGGCAAGGGAAGGATACTGCAAAATCCCCCTTCTCTCCCCACCCCACTAACCTGCTTTCCAGCTCCGTTCTCCTGTGCAGGGCAACCAAAGGAGACCCAGACAATCAGCTGGGACTCAATGGGAGGCGGAGCATAGATGGGGTGGGGCCAGTCAGAGGTGGGATTTTCTGGTTCTCTGAACTACTCAAAATTTCTGCTACTGGTTCTCCAGAACTGGTCAGAAGCTGCTGAATTGAATTGAATTCTTTATTGTCATTGTATGTATATACACAGTATACACATACAATGAAATTCACATAACACCTGGAGACCAGACCCAACACACACACGACAATCCCCAAACACCTCCCCACCCACCAAAATTCCCTGTCCCCTAAAAACACACAAGCATCCACGCAACAAACCACGTAATACTGTCCAACGGTTCACTGATGGTGGTCCTTAAGTTTGTTGTTAAGTGCAATTATAACTCTGGAATAAAAAACTCTTCAGAAAACGTCTGGTCCAAGTTTTAATTGTTCTGTATCTTCTGCCAGAAGGCAACAGCTCACAAAGATTGTGAGCAGGATAGGAATACCACCTCTGCTTCCAACTCTGTTAACTTCCACATATCATCTTGGGTATGAGTCTAAGATACCTGATGCAATTTAGCTCCAAGGACGGTTGCAGGATTTGTGTCTGGCCAGTCTAATGAAAAGAAGGACTGGGGTGGGGAGGACAGGAGAGCAGTCTTCCAGTATTTGAGGGGCTGCTCCAAAGAAGAGGGGGTCAAGCTATTTTCCAAAGCACCAGAAGGCAGGACCAGAAGCAACAGATGGAAACTAATCAAGGATAAAAGCAACCTAGAATTAAGGAGGAATATTCTGATAGTGAATTTCTGGTTATTCTGATATTCTGATAATTAACCAGTGGAACAGCTTGCCACCAGAAACTGTGGTGCTCCATCACTTGAGCCTTTTAAGAAGGGATTGGACAGCCACTTATCTGGAATGGTATAGTTTTTCCTGCCTGGGTATGGGGTTGGACTAGAAGGCCACCAAGGTCCCTTCCAACTCCTTTAACTTTTACATATCATCTTGTGTTATGGGTTTAAGATACTGGATGCAATTTAGCTGCAAGAGAACTAGGTGTGCAGAGAAGAAAAATATCTGGAACACATTGTAGGAGATTGGGATTGGAGGTATGCCTAGTTCAGAAAACAAGAAGGTGACATGATAGCAGTCCTCCAATATTTCCAAGGTCTCTTCCAACTCCATTTCCCTGTTTTTCTGTGTTTAGAGAAAATCCCCACCTGGAAAAATAGATAAATCATTATTTTTTTCAGGGTTGACTAATTTCACAACGTTCCCATCCAACTTTGCTGGATGATTTTAATCGCAGGGGAAAATGTAGTCTTGTATTTCGTGTTATACCACTGTTAATTTTTTTTATTAAAAGCTATTAGTACACCGGACATTAGATGTATATTACAATATTACAATAACTACCTTTTTTCCCCACAGCATGGAGCAAATGAGGATTGCATGGATGAGGAGAATCGTACGCCTCTACATTGGGCTGGTGAGTCCTAAAACAAAAAAAGCACAGGTAGTCCTTGACATACGACCATAATTGAGCCCAAAGTTTCTGTTGTTGAGTGAGACATTTGTTCAGTGAATTTTGCCCCATTTTACAGCTCTCTTGCCACCATCATTAAGTGAATCACTGCAGGCGTTAAGTGAGTAACCCACTTGTTAAATGAATCTGGCTCCCCCCATGGACTTTGCTTGTCAGATGGTTGCAAAAGGGGACACTGCGACCGTCATAAGTACGAATAGGAGTGCTGGAAAGGTTGTAACTGTGAAAAACGGTCATAAGTCCCTTTTTTCAGTGCCATTGTAACTTTGAACAGTCACTAAATGGACTGATGTAAGTGTCAGGATTCCGGCTGTTACCTCCATTTAAATCATGAGTCTCGAGCCAAACTTCCAAAACTTCAAAAGGATTTATTTGGAGTTAACATGCCTGCACTGCTTGGGCGTAGCCGACTCTGAGACACATAATTCATTGTCACCCTTGACCCTGGTTTTCCCTCCACACCTCTGGGTGTATCGTAATTCACATTCTCCAATGGGACACATCCATAGCCAAGAATCATCAATCATGCTCTCCAGTTAGAATTTTGCACGGCAGAAACTTTGGTCACCTAGTTACTATCTTTGAAAACTATTTATGGAATGCAATTTCGGTTTGCAAACTGCCGCACTTCTCTTCCCCCCTTTCCCTTTCTGTTGGTAACTCTAAAACTCCACACTGTTCAAAGAATGTCCAAATTGTATAGCTAAAAGTCTGTGGAGATTCTCAATCCTCCAGGTGATGGTTGTCCCAAAGGTGCTTTTTTCAGGAGGCAACTGGACTTTCTGGTTTTTTGAAAATGTTTCTCTTCTCATCCAAGAAGTTTCTTCAGCTCTGACTTGGATGGTGGAGAACAGAAGGATTTTTATTCTTTGCAGACAGCTGGTCATTTGCATCCTTTTAGAGGGTCGTTGAGGCCACTTGGAGGTTTGTCTGTGTCCTCAGGATCACCTGAGTGGTACTCCTGGTTCCTGTAGTCTGCAATTTTTTTTCCTCTACAGGACTACAGGAACCATTTGCATCACTCAGGTAAACCTGAGGACACAGATAAACCTACAAGTGGCCTCCATGACTCTTTAAAAGGATGCACAGGTGCATGGTGCGCGGCAAGGGGAATCATGCGTGCAGATGCAGGAGGTGTGGGGCCCCCAGCACGCATTGCCTTCTGGCTACTGGCACAAAAGCATGTGCACATGAGCGTGTGTGCAATTATTGGCACAGGAGCTGAAAAAAGGTTTGCTACCACTGGTATAGGGTCTCCTGCTGCAGCAGGGGGTTGGACTGGAAGACCTCCAAGATCCCTTCCAGCTGTGACTGATTGAATTCTATGCAAAATGCGTCCAATTCTCTACCGGGATGTATCCGATGCACGCCAGCGCATTCAGTCTTGCAAATTTGCAGATCAGCATTGCAAAGTTGCTCTTTTCCATGTTTTGCGACACTTTGTCACCAAGCCAAGTTCATTCCTGATTTTGGGGGGCAATTCCTGTGAATCGACCCAACAACTCTCTAAAAAGGATGCGAATGACCAGCTGTCGGCAAGCAATATAAATCCTTTCACTCCCCACCATCCAGTCAGAGCTGAAGAATCTTCTTGAATGAGAAGAGAAACATCTTCAAAAGAAAAAACAAGAAAGTCCAGTGGCCTCCTGAAAAAAACACCTTTGGGACAGCCATCACCTGGATGAAGAGAATCTCTAGAGACTTTTAGCTCTATACAATTTGGGATGGACACCCTTTGAAGGATGTGGGAATAGGAATGGATTTCCAGAGGGAAAAAAATGCAGACTACAGGAACCAGGAGCACCACTCAGGTGACCTTGAGGATACAGATAAACCTCCAAGTGGCCTCAACGACTCTTTAAAAGGATGCAAATGACCAGCTTTGCCTTCAAGGAATATAAATCCTTCCATTCCCCACCATCCAGCCAGAGGTGAAGAAGCTTCTCGGATGAGAAGCCAAACATCTTCAAACAAAAAACCAAAAAAGTCCAGTTGCCTCCTGAAAAAGTCCCTTGCTTTGGGACATCCTCAGGAAACTTTTATTTTTTGATTTGTCAATCACTTACAAGATAATAGATATAAGAATAAACATAGTTTTGAATACATGAGATAGATACTTATAAGAAAAATAAAAAGAAACAATAGGACAGGGACGGTAGGCACGTTGGTGCGCTTATGCACACTCCCTACAGACCTCTTAGGAAAGGGGTGAGGTCAATAGGAGACAGTCTAAGGTTAAAGTTTTTGGGGTTTGGGGAAGAAACCACAGAGTCAGGCAGAGGATTCCAGACATTGACCACTCTGTTACTGAAGTCGTATTTCCTGCAATCAAGTTTGGTGCGGTTGACCATGAGTTTGTTTCTATTGTTTGCTCTTGTATTGTTATGATTAAAGCTGAAGTATTCATTTGCAGGCAGGACATTGCAATGTATGATTTTATATACTATACTTAGATCGGACCGAAGGCGGCGTAGTTCTAGGTTTTCTAGGTCTAGAATTTCGAGTCTGGTGGCATAAGGTATTCTGCAACGAATAGAGGAGTGAGAACTCTTCTTGTGAAATATTTCTGGACTTTCTCAACTGTGTTAATATCAGATACGTAATGTGGGTTTCAGACTGATGAGCTGCATTCGAGTATTGGTCTAGCAAATGTTTTGTATGCTCTAGTTAGTAGTGTGATATTAGCTACATAAGATTAGGTTAATAACTCTTAACGCCTTTTTGGCTATGTAGTTACAGTGGGCTCTAGCACTTAGGTCATTTGAGATGAGTACTCCAAGATCCTTGACAGAGCTTGGATCCTCAACAAGGTCTTGACTATTTAGCTTGTATTTTATTTTCTGACTGTTTTGCCAATATGTAAGACAGAGCATTTATTTGTTGAAATTTGAAGTTGCCATTTGATTGACCATTCTGATACATAGTCAAGGTAGAAGTATTGTCTGTGGTGTTGAATAGCTTTACATCATCAGCGAAGAGGACGCAGTTGCTCTTAATATGATCACAGAGGTCATTTATGTAGAGTATGAAGAGAGTTGGTCCTAGAACTCTGCCTTGGGGGACACCATTGTTGACAGGTACAGAATTTGATAGGACGCTCCCAATTTTGACCATTTGTTGTCTGTTTGACAGGAATGCTTCTATCCAGTTATGTAGGTGTCCAGAGATACTGTAAGATTTTAGTTTTAGGAGTAGTTTGTCGTGTACCACTGAATCAAAGGCTTTACAGAAGTCTATGTAGATTGTGTCTATTGCTTTGCCCTGATCGAGTTGTGTAGTCCATATGTTTTTGCAGTGTAAGAGTTGCAGATTACAGGATAGTTTTTTCCTGAAACCAAATTGTTTGTTAGAGAGTAGGTTGTTTGTCTCTAAGAGAAGGATAATGGATTGGTTAATAATTGATTCCATGACTTTGCAGGTGATGCAGCATAAGAAGATTGGTCTGTAATTTTCAACTTTCTCCTTTTTTGAAGATGGGCATGACTGTGGCTTGTGACCATAGTTTACCTCTCTCTCTCTCACCAGAATGTTTGCTTTGGGCTATTCTTTGCATAGTATTTATGGGCTGTCTGGTTGTGTTCCCTGAGGATGGGCTCCAGCACAAGTCCAAAAACTTGGAAGACTAAACCTCTGGTTCCGGTGACCGACCTAGGTTGCAACATTATCCTGGCACATGTATATCTGACTTCAAGATCATGTCAGGATGGTGTCAAGATAATATTGCTTTACATCATAATAGTGCTTTACATCACACTAGTAAGGCCACACTTGGAATACTGTTCTGGTCTCCGTGATGCAAAAATATGTTTGAGGTTCTAGAAAGGGTGCAGAGAAGAGCTACAAAGATGATTAGGGGCCTGGAGGCTAAAACATATGAAGAACAGTTGCAGGAACTGGATATGTCTAGATTAATGAAGAATAGAAGTGACATGATAGCATATTCCAACATTTGGAGGGCTGTCACAGAGACAGAGGGGGACAAACTACTCTCCAATGCTCCTGAGGGCAGGACAAAAAGCAACAGATGGAAAGTTAGGTAGTTATGAAGAGCCATGGGGGCACAGTGGTTAGAATGCTCCATCACTGGAGATTTTCAAAAAAAAGACTGCACAACCATTGGACTGGGAGAGTATCAGGTCTCTTTCCTTGGACTCCTGCCTAAGACAACCCCACAGAGGCTGGACTAGAAGACCTCAAAGATCTCTTCCTGCCCTAGGATTCTGGGAACTTCTATGACTTTCCTCCTGCATGGAGGAAATATTAAATATTCCTCCCAAGTGCACCAGCTTTTTCACAACCGCATAAGAGGCTGCTGCTGCTGTTTTTTAAGTAGCCCATTGATAATCTTCAGTCATGCACATCTTAGCAGAATTTGAATGTGAATAATAAGTTTTCCCAGGTATCCTATCAGGTTACCAGGAAGTCTCTTGAATCCAGTTGAGCCCCTGGTGGCTTTAGAGCCCTCCATTAGGACAGAAGCTCTTTTGTCTTTCTTTTTTTTTTAAAAAAATGTTGAAACTCTGGAAAGAGAGCAGAGAAGAGCAAGAAAGATGATTAGGCGGCTGGAAGCTCAAATTTATTTAGATTTCAGGAATTGAGTGTTTCTAGTCTAGTGAAAAGAAGGACTGGGAGGGACACGATGGCAGTATTCCAGTATTTGAGGGGCTACCACAAAGGAGAGAGGAGTCAAGCTATTCTCCAAAGCACCCGAAGGCCAGAGAAGGAACAATGGATGGAAACTGAACAAGGAGAGATTCAACCTGGAAATAAGGAGAAACTTTCTGACAGTGAGAACAATCAATCAATGGAACAGAAGTTGCCTGCGGAAGTTATGGGAGCTTCATCACTTGGAGGCTTTCAAGAAGAGACTGGACTGCCAGCTGTCAGAAATGGTGGTGGTGGGTCTCCTGCTTGGGCAGGGGGTTGGACTAGATGACCTACAA